TCCTGGCAAGGAGTGTTCCCTATGAGCAGGTGAGAATAATTAAGTGTGTTTACGGTATTAGATCCAGAGATTTGTACGGAGCCAGGTGTTTGCATTTCGTTTACTGGTAGGTGAGACAATGTCACTAAAAACAATGCAAATAAAGTTGTTATTGTATAACAATTAGAAGGATGATAATCCAGTGGCGGATCCAGGGGGGGGGGTTCAAGGGTTTCGGACGAACCCCCCTCTGTGAAGAAATGTAACAAAATACTTATGGGTCCTGGCTTACAAAAGGCATACTAACCTACCTAGGCATAGGTTGGCAGATCAGACAAACTAGGCCTAGCCCAACTAGCATTCAATTAAATAAATTTAACAAACACTGTTTTTGGTTCAATGTCGTAATAATTTATGTACGAAAATGCGTTCTTCAGGCCCATCGATCCATGGAAGAAAGACTACGTACTGTATGCCTTTTATTTTTTTTTTCTCTATGTATAGGCCTAAGAATGAGATAAAATTACCTGACCTTTTTCAAGAGAGGGAAAACCTTGAATTTTGAAGAAATTAAAAGGTTATTAAAAAGACACCTCAGAAGTCGGGAAAGCTCACTTCCGGACACCTAGGAATCAAAATTTTCCCTGGACCCCCTTTATTTTTTGGGTTTTGTGAGAACTTTCTGAACCCCACTCTTTGAAATCTTGGATCCGCCCCTGTAATCAAGGACTATTTTTCTGCTTTGAACCAGGCACTTAGGGTTCTTGAGGATGGCATGTCAGCTGAAGTTATTAAGATTGGCCGGATGGTGCAGAATCGTGAACGACTGGTTAAACGGCGGCAACGATTGATTGGACCAAATGGCTCAACTTTAAAGGCTATTGAGCTGCTGACAAAATGTTATGTGATGGTGCAAGGAAACACAGTTGCAGCGGTCGGACCACACAGAGGGTTGAGGGATGTTAATAAGGTGGTCATCGATACCATGAAAAATGTTCATCCTATTTATAATATAAAGGTAATTTATATTTATATTAGTGTAAAATATACACTTGTTAAAACAGTTAGCATGTTAGCATGCCACTGGTACTGTAAGATTAATTTAGTAGTAACACTTTATGATTTGTTTTTTAGACTATGATGATCAAACGAGAGTTAATGAAAGATGAAAATCTACGCAATGAATCATGGGATAGGTTTTTGCCAAAGTTTAAGTCAAAGAATCTAGCAAAACGCAAACAACCTGTCAAGAAGCGTACAAAAAAAGAGTACACTCCATTCCCGCCACAACAGCCAGAAAGCAAGGTACAGCAGGATACAAAAGTTTTTGCTATGTGTACTGTACTCTTTTAATATTCTTATGCTTACATTTTTTGTTTACTTTTCAGATGGATAAAGAAATAGCTACAGGAGAATATTTCCAGAGAGAAAATGAAAGGAAAGCAAAAGCAAGAGAAATGAAAAAGGTAGGAAATCACCCCCTCCCAGTCTTCCCCCTCATTGAAAACTTTCAAAGCAAAAAAAGATCACCTCAAATGACCTTATTTTGCTAGCTAGTTCCCCCTCACTTATGCATCGAGCATCCCTTTTTACCTCCATTTCCCCATCAGTCTCCCCACCCCCTTTTCAAGACTTAGATATACAGTACCAACAAGTCTTTTAATGAGTATGTGGAACCGCATGTGTACATATAGTATTGTATGTTGTGCGTCTTAAGTTATTGGAATAGAAATTCTGTTATCATTATAGAGGAAGCAGGTAGAAGCAGTAGTCAAGAATCAAGAGAAGCGACTGAAAGCCTTTGTCGCCCCCAAGGAACCGGCGGTTACAACCAAGCCTACCAAACAAAAGCTTAGCCAGAGTACAGATGTAGACATTGCTGCTTTGAAGGCCAAAATTAAACAATCTAAAGTGAGTTTGAGATTTTAAACATTAGTACTGTTAGTGCATACAATTCAGAGGACAATTTACTGTTTATAAAAAAAAGCAATAGCGGTAGAAGTGGTTGGCGCATCGGTTGTAGCTTGTACTCCCAACCTTGAGGTCCGGGGTCTGAAACTCTCACTGTGCAAGTCGCTTGTGTCCTTGGGCAACGTTTGTCTCTCTCTACCCAGGAGTATAAATGGGTACCCGGTGGTTCAATACTGGGGAAGAAAATAGGCGACCAAGAAAGGAACTGGCCACCCTACCACACAATACTGAGGCTTAGTACAATGAACAGCTCATTCCCCTATGTTCAATAACGAATATGGACTACCTTTAAGTTTATATTAAAAAAAACAAACCAATCTACTTTACAGGGATCTCATTTTTTAATCTAGAATATGAAATATAAAGTGAATTTATTCACCATGTATGAGTGTTCTTGTGTTTATATATCAAACTGAACATTGTTCTTTTTTTTTTAATTATTGATTTCTGTCTTAGACGAAAGGTAAACATGAAGTTCGCAAGAAGAAGGAACCAATTAAGAAAAAGAAGATTGCCTCAAAATCATGATAATAGAGCAACCAAATCGTGATGAAAATACTGATATTGAGATAGTACTCCTGACAGCTATATCAAGGTTCATACACCAGTGATAAATTGTGTCATATGTAAGACGATTACTATCTTGCATGGTGGGAATTTCAAAGCCTGTCAGTTTCTAGTGTTCTTATAGCGGATGGAGCAAATAGGGTTGCCTGCCTATTATAATTAACATTATTAGCATTATGATTACTACAATTTTGTGACATCAGTTGTCATTTTTCAGACTCGCTTCAGTTAAGCTTGGTTTCCATACAATCGCTACACGCTATTGCGTCGGGAACTGCTACGCAGCTTTATCACTAATATAGAAGGACTATTGTAAATGTAATCATACAAAGCTTTCCACCCGTGTCTATTGTGTAGTATATTTGATGTACCTCTATACAGATATTGATGCTCTATTGGGGTGCCTATTAAAATTTGCTTACCAATGGCCCAAGGTGGGTGTGTGGAGCACTGCCACAGTACTTTACATCAAATTTAATATTTATACTGTATTTGATTTGTGTTTATCGTTTATTACTACTGTACACAATTTATAGTGCAGCTCAAATAGTAATATGAAGGTATGAGGGGACCGTTTGTTTACCCTAAACCACCAGTTCCAGAAAGACAAGCAACATTACTTGGATAACACTCGCATATTTATTGTACATTTTCCAAGTTCATAGTTCACTTCAAATTGACGAGCAATATTGCTTACATGAGAAAACTAAATATTTTGTTACTGTTTGATCAAGCATTTTAATTATCTATCGGATATTATGTACAGAAAACTTGAAATAAACAATTGTGAGAGGTTTTAGTGGCGTTTTTAAACAATGTGTACTAGTTCAAGTCTAGCATTGTTTACTGACAACAGTTGCAAATTGAAATATGAATAATCCAATCACATCTCTGCTTATGATTACTTGCATCATTCTCTACTAAATGTTCATGATGCTAATTGGTTATCAGGAATCTCTGGCTTTCATTGTCATTATACTTTTGCCACTGGAACTGGTTCAATGTCATCAATTCCAATATGATAAGAAATATCGCCACGGTGACGCCTTAGTCCAACAATAGCATTCTCTTCCATAATTTTTGGCTTGATGCCAAGATCCTCAAGACCTGGCAGTCCGTCAGTTGGATTTTCTGAACTGTGTTGCTATAATCAAAATAACATTTAAAATCATTAAATATTTTTAAAAAATTGAACATTCACAGCCCAAAGGAAGCTTATCAATAATATTTTTCCAAGGAGTCTTTATACCATTTATTTGTACACCATCAAGTATAAACTTACAAGCTCCAGCATATCTCTGGTCAACCACGGGGTAAAAGGGTAAAGTTCAAAGCCTCTCGCTGCTAATCTTAGAATGGGTCTTGGTACTGGGTACTTGATGTATGGTCTCCTTGTAATACGATAGATGTACTCGATGACATCACTCAATAAGTAAGGCTTGGGTCTGTAGGACAAGGAATGAGAAGTCTTTTACAAAATTCTACACATAACAGAAAATTCCTTTGAATTTTTTATATAGTACAAATACCAGTAGGAGATAAGCTGCCAAATTGACAGGAGTGGGATGTGTTGGTAGTAGCAGTAAGAACATAGTGTAGTACAACTTACCCATAGAATTCAAATGTTTTTCCATCAGCTGTTTTATCTTTGCAAGCCAAAACAATTCCTTCGGCAACATCTGTAACCTGAAATTGAAAATTTGGTTGGGGGTCAATAATAGAAAATGTTCATTGCCACTATCACATCATCATCATCGCCACCTCTGTAATAATATCACTATACTGTATAGACCACTTACAAACACTGGTCTCTTGACTGTCTTCCATGCGGATGGGTAGAGTGGTACACCTCCAAAAAATCTCTGATCTACAAAGCAATAACATAAGAAACATTAAAATAATGATGAGTAAAAAATTCATTTTGTTTTTGTAAATAGCTGAATCTATACAAAAGCTTTTACACAAACAAAAATAAAACATACTTGCAAAATGATTGAAGTACCGGTCTTCTGATCCGTAAATCTGAGCTGGCCGGATGACGATAGCCTCAGGAAATTCTCGCTTCACTACCGCCTCTCCAGCAGCCTAGAGAAACAAAGGGACGATTATAAGATGTAGTTAAGGATATATGAAAGCCTCTGTTTGATTCTTAGTCACTTCTTGTCCAGTATTTCTTTTGGGATTTAGTTCGGTTTCAATTCATTTGTTTGTCAATGTTCCAACAACATAAACTTTATGTTTCCCATTAGCTACCATACAAACTCTTTAGATATTGCTTTGCTCAGATTTATAGTTTTATAATGCATATAATACAAAACATATTCAAGAACACAAGTCAATGTGAAAATGAATATTTCACCTAGCATACTCCTTCATTGTTCTAGCCCACTGCTTTATTGTTCAACCTTTTAATGCATTACTTATTTCATTTTTACCTATTTTATTTACATCCATATTTCATTTCTAAATAAATGTGGCCATCCATAAATTTTATACAGTTGGGTGTCACTACATTTTATGACTTTATTTCACACATTACATTTTGTAAAATAAATTATTCTGTTTCCACCTTTGAACATGGTGTTATTTATGAAAATGATATTCATTTTCCCCAAAACTTGGGGCCAGGAAAATGGATTGAAAGTAATTTAAGATGCACATAATCCAGCATATCATTATTATCCTGATATCATTTGTATATTTATACAGTAGATCTTCATTATAATTAACATGAGCTGTGTTTAAATGCTTACGGTGGTTCCATAATGCTCACATATTCTCAATGCATTAGGGAAACATACCTTTGTTCTTAAAAATTTTGATGGTGAAGCCATATCTGCAGACAATGCTGAGACGTGAATGAGTCTGGCAACGTTCTCCTCTTTGCAGATCCGTGCCAGCATCTGAGCTGTTTTGATGTGGATATCCTCAAATTTAAAGTTACTAAAGAACAATGTCATTTAGAAATAATGAAGGTAAGAATAAACCAACATTTAAAATATATATAAACATATTTATTCAATTAACTGTGAATTCCTATGGAGGCTGGCCATTGTTACAATAGACTAAGATACATCTAGGCCAATTACAGCAATGGAAACTCAAGATGTTTTTCTTAATAGGGATAGAAATATGGTAACAAGGCTTGTGCTAATCCAAAACCTGTGTTTGAGAATTTGAGCAACAAAAATATTCTAGCCATACCTTGTCTCGTAATCTTGTCCTAACAAATTGATGACAACGTTGCAGTGTTTGACTATTTCTCTTATTTTCTCTGGCTCCTGCACTGTAAATTCCTATTAACATGAATAGAAAAAGTATACAATGTACTACAGTGTTACGTGATACTACTCCGTTGTTAATGGTGACACAAAATATGTTCAACCGACGCCATTTTCTCCACTGACAAACCATTGATCTCAATTTCTAACGTAATTATTAAGAAGGTGTATCTTAATTTTTCTTTGTAAATGTTCATTAATGATTAAATGTGTGTTCGATAACTAATATAATGTGAACTTTTCATGTTTTTAATACATTTCGATGGTTAATTATTAGGTTTTAAAATGCCTATTCCAAAAAACCTATTCTAAACCATTAAGATTATGAAGTCATTCAGGCGTAATGAATAGTAACCAACGTCCACGACTGTGTGGTACTCTATTCAATTTTCAATCTTTATACATGATTATTAAATGAGAAAAGTTTAATTCAGTGATATAGCTATAGAATACAAATTACTGTAAATCATACATATTATAGTAATAATAATAACAATGATAATGATAGCGAGTCAAGTTGCCAAGCTGTAAGGTGGGGCGCCGCCAACTACAGCACTGGTTCGAGCTACTCCTCGTCCAGGGTTCAGTTGGTAGAACTAAGTCTTCTTGGATAAGGACTTAAACTGGAGGTCCAGTGTACACATCTGGCTTGCGTGCACTTTAAAGAATTTATTGCATCTTTTGGAAGAGTAGGGGTTTACCCCAATGTTATGGTTCATTTCAGCCCCTGTCGTTGTGGAATAATGTGAACATGCAGCTACTATAAGCGCCTCTTTATGACGGCTAGGTAGACACAGACCACGCCCATACGTAAGTCAGCACAATTACACAGCAAGTTAGGGTTAATCTCCTACCCTTTACCCCTACACTTTATATAGCGCATAATGCAAAAAATGCTTCAACATGCTTTACATAAACAAAATGACAGAAAAATCTCAAGCAAACAATAAAAGAACAGAAAAACCAACAACAAACACAACAGAAACCGATACAACACAGCCCTGCACCGTTTCAGCAACACGCCCAATACACACCAGAATAAAATCATGATAATTAATAACATTAAAGACATCGTCATCAATGTTATTTCTTTACCCGGAAATGAATCTGTCCTAGATCAGCCATCAATTTCATATGCAGAACATAATACGGGTCACAGCGATGAGGAATTACAATCTGAGTTCCTTGTTTGCCTGTGAAAGAAATACATAACATCCTTCACACAATTATCAATGCTTTCTGGGAGATTGCAAATAAACTGCTTGCCTACGCACACTCATCCAAGAGTAATAGGTTGTAGCATATCTAGCAGTATTACCATGGGGGAACGAAAACTAAGTAAAGGCATGTTACCTGGAAAATTAAGGTGATTTATAACTACTGTAACTACTTGCCAGTGAGGTGAAAACCCTTTTATGGGGTTGTGTGCCCAAATGCCTCTCTGTATATGTTACTGTATTTATTAGTGAGGCAAAATGCACATCTGAGGAATATTCTACAGTAGTAATAACTAGTTATTGATTGATGTGAACAACTTACCTAGCCTATTGACAATGTATCTGCCAAGGAAGCCACTTGCTCCAAATACACCAACTGACATTCCACTAAAGGATGATCTGCCCCCTCGACCTCTTGGCACAACAGAAGGATTGTAGGTTGCTGCATTTCGTTGACTAGAAACAGAAACACCAGCTATACAATGTGTTACCTTATCTGGAAATAACACAAACAATAATTGACACTTGGTTCTTTAGAAGTTGCAAGACATGTATTTATGGTTATTTTTAGGCCAACTGTCAACAAAGTCTGAATGGCTGTCCCTAACCTGTAGGCTACGGTACGACCCTAAGCCTTCAATTTTCATACCATAGCCCATTAAGATTTACAGTAGGCCTGCCTCTTTTTTTAGATACAAGATTGCTCTTGCTTTTTTTCTTCCCACACACTGTAAAGTACTTTATTTGCACAGAGATACATCAACTACTACATCAACAACTACAGTAACTCAAATTTGCATGGAAAGTTAAAGAATACCTCAGCTGTGCATATTAAATTAAACTTTCTGCATGGTTGTACTATACTCTCATATTATGAGAAAAAGGTAATGTCTAATTCCTGCAAAATATGTGCAGAAATCAGCACATACTGTATATTTGAAATGCACAGACAGATTTAGACTTACGAATACGATAACCCTTAATACTTACTATGGAACCAAAATGACCCGCAATCTAGCTAGGGACCTAGGCCTACTCCTGACAATGAATAATGATCTTTTGTTTAGGCTAATAATATTAATAATAATAATAATAAATAGTTTTAAAATTCATAAATTAAAATGGACATTTATATAGGCCTCGGCCTATTCATGCTAGCCTAGATTTTTAAGGAATGCATTCTAGCTACAGCATTCTAGCTATAAAGGACAGATACAGATTATTACCCATTAAATCAAGCCTAATTTTAGCTGTTATAGGATGGGTGAAAGTCTTCTGGAAGAAGTAGATCACTACCCCTACTTAGGACTCGAGTTGAACTGGCATCTGACCTCACCTGGACTAGACATACAGTATCAACCAAATCACAATGAAAGCTAACAGAACTTTTGGTCTTCTGAAAGGGAACCTTTTCAGCTGTAACAAATCAACTAAAGAGACCACATGGGATCCTCACCAAAAAAAGTAACATCCAAAACATCAACAAAATTCAGCGACGAACAGCCCGTTTTGTACTGCATAACTATGCCAGAACATCCAGTGTATCTGAGATGCTGAAACAACTTGAATGGGAGTCCTTGGAGACCAGACGAATAAAGTGTGTCTCTGTACCTTTTATAAAGAAAACAAACTCATCCCTAGCAATATAGATCATCTTCTACAGACGAATCTTTTATCCAGACAGACCAGGCGATCTTCAGTCAGGTCACTTTATTTACAAAAGAGTCCAGCCCAATAAAAACAACTACCTTCATTCACTCTATCCTTGGAACATCCCTGAATGGAATTTGCTCCCCGATGGCATTAGGCGTGCCCCTACATTGGCCACCTTCAAGTCTCAACTTGATAGCATCGACATTGACCGGCTTGCTAAGACTGCGCATCTAAAAGTATAATTTGCAACTAGTTGCAGCAACAGCGTTACCTGCTGCACGTGATAGCCAGGCCTAGTTGACGGCGGTTGTGCAGTACTGTAGCTGACAGATTCAGATACAAAGCTAAGCAGTAATAGGCCTATATTGTAAGCCTTGGGCCTAGTCTCTTAGTTTTAGGCATAGGCCAGGTTAGCCATCATCAATCTAGCGATAGAGAAGACAGGCTCTCCCCATCGTGTCGTCTCAATAAATAGGCCCTAGCCTAGGCCTAGCCTAGGCCTAGGGGGGCCTAGTGCCAAATGCTTCGGAGCCATGGTTTCAAAAAACGTAGAAAGCCGAATTTCAACCCAAGTAAACAAATATAAAATAGTTTTTAATATAATGATCAATACATATTGACGGTAAATTCTGAAACATACTTGCAAAAGATAACCGGCAAATTCGAGCAACCTCCGTAAGATTCGCCATCTTGCTGGCTACCGGTGATTACTTCTTCGCATCAATGCAACCGTGTTTGACATTATGAATATTCAAAAGCCTTAATTGCTCTGATTCGCCATCGATCTTGATGATTAGCCGGTGTGATTGAACTTTGCGATGAGACTGCACCTTGAACTTTGCGATGAGACTACAACATGGCATATTTTTTTCGAATCTAATGTTAATGATAAAATTCAATTTTTTTATTTTATTTATTTAATTTTTTTTGGCGAAAGGTGCAATGGAAGAATACCCTCCAAAGCATTATTTGGAATAATCCTCTCGGGCGTTTATTTTTAGTCGAATATTGTGCGACATGGGACGACAGAACGAACGGAGAGAGAGTGAAAAGAATGAATACAAATAGAAGTTTACTAGATATGATGGAGTAAAGAAGAAGAAGATGGATTGGTCATAAAAATGGATTATTAAAGGAAGTGATTAAGGGATGGAAGGAAAGAGAACAGTAGGCAGAAGAAAATATGCCCATTGTTTAACATCGGACGTTACGAAGAAATAATAGAAAAGCGCAACACGAAGAGAGATCAATGGGGGAAATGAATCTCAATTCATAACGGACCCACACAGCAATGCAGATTACTAATGATGATGATGAAACAACTTCCTGTAATAAACGGTAAACACCACATTTTCCCCACGGTTTTAAACAAACAGCATCACTACCGGACTAGAACCATGGAAAAACAGTAGCCTGATACTAAACCCGTCCTCCTGTTGATTTATAAATAAAATAATTGTAAAACTTCTTTGAAGCCAACGGGACCTCTGTCATTGATTTTGTATTTGATTCCATGACATATCATACCTACGTGTTATGTATATCAAAGGTTGATTATAACTGAAAACGTTTGATAATTGAATTTACCATATAATCAGGCCCGTAGCGTGGGTGGGGGTTAAGGGGGTTACGACAAACCGCCCAAAAAACTGGAGAAGGTCCGCATTTAAAAACAAAAAAATTATATTCTTACAATATAATTATATTACCGTATATATTTTGATAGTATGTGATATGACGTGATCGTACCCTTGTATAATGGTTTCCAAAGGGTTCACTTTCCACTGAAACGAACCTCCCACAAATTAAGTCACGCTACGGGCCTGGTAATTTTACTATCAACTATTGCCCCGGCGTCACTAATTTGGATCAATACGGCACGGTCGTACGAAATTATCTTCAATCATTTCTCATTGTGTTGACGTTGGGAACTTTTATCTTCCTATCATGCACGATAATACTTTCTTCCTATTTACTATTTGTATATGAATGAAATACTAATTATAGTTCCGTGCATTTTAGAATTCTGAGAATAATCATCGTAATTGTTATTTTTTTAAAGAAACATCGTACAGACGTCATCTAGTTTTCTACACCAATTTAAGTGTTTGGGTAGACTTACAGGGTCTTTGTCTAATTATTAAATTTGTATCATCATAAGCTATAAAAATGTGTAAAATATAAAGTTTACCAGACCGTTTTCAAGAGGGATAAACCTTGAATTTTGAACAACTTAAAAGTCATTAAAAGACACCTCAGAAGTCGGTAAAACTCACTTCCCGAAATCTAGGAATGAACATTTTCCCGGGGAAGGCCCCACCCCCTTTTTCTTTTTGGGCTTTTAAAAAAAAATGTAACTCTAAGAGACAGCCCCCCCCCCACCCAAGTTTGAACCCAGTTTCGCCTCTGTGCAAATATTGTATTCTTGATGATAAGATGAAAAATATTGAAAATGAATAAAGGTGGATAACCCACATGAAAGAGAAACAAAAACAAATGGTTTTCGCCAATTTACAGATGTTTTTTCAAATATTTTTTAAAGAATTTGTTAGGATACAATATACAATATAACTCTATATATCAATGTATGAATGATACATAGAAATTTGGGTTGGCTCAGTGTATAATGCCGCAAATACATACCGTGCACACACATGTGCACACCTATAATAAATTTAAAAAAAAAAAAAAAGTACTATAATTATTTAGTGCCAAACAATCCCTAAACATATTGGCAGACCGCTGACCGCTTCGCATTATCTAAAAAATATTTGCAACAATCAACCGTGCTTTTTTCGACACAAGCCTTTCTTGGTAGAGCTTGTCGACTGAGCATTGGTCAATACCGATAATACGAGAGGCGATCTTAATTACACAGTCAAGATCTTTCTCCGATGTGCCGCCGAACCACACAGTAATTCAAAGAGTTAGACCATTCTCTATGGCATGTTTTATAAAAACGACACATCACAGGAGAACAGGTTCAGAAGATCTTAATCTACATAGGAAGAAAATACGTTGCTGTGCTTGTTTAACACAATATTGAGATTGATTGATAAGAGATTTGTTAGCATGAGCTGCACTCATGAGCTACGTGTTGCTTTTCTTCAGGAATATCTGAATAATTTTTGGCATTCAAAACGGAGAAAAACTTGTGACCAGTATCTCTTCTACATGACCAATGGTTTATTTAATTTTTTTCTAAATACATTTTTTCGTTCATTAAAAAAAAAAACAATCCGCCCTTCATTTCGAGACTCCCGTAATCCGAGACCACTTTTTCAATTTTTTAACACAAACCTAGCTAACCTCATTCAAGTCCCAAAGGTCGCCCTGAATTGGAGGGCAAGCTGTAAACATATATACTCCGGACTGCTAAAATAGCCCTGCAGTGGCGGATTCAACGAGGAAGGGGGAGTCGGTCGGTCTTCCTCCCCCTAAATTTTTCAACAAATATGAAAACAATTGAGAAAAATGGAAAATTATAATCAAAGTTAGGTCGGACAATGCCATTTCCAACCATCTAGAGGTGTCATAATAATAAATTGTCTTACTCCCCATCTGTGAAACCCGGCCTGGGCCCCTCTATTTCGAATTCCTACCGCCACTGTCCTGTATCGGCCCGAATCAGAGCCAGGTGTGCGACACTGCCAAGAAATCAGTTCAGCTTCTCCAGATGATGATGTACTCCTGTCCAACAATCAACGTGATATACATCAACGGAAGCGGATGACTCCAAAAGTAGGACCCACCCATGATCATACAATTCCAGGCACCCCCATGCAGGCGACTGAGTTCAGTGCTGACGAAACACGACAGTTTGTTTCTCGTATTCCCGCATGAGCGTTGGCCACTGTAAACCAAATCAATGGCATCAAGTATTATATTTGGCGGCATGTTCTTACTGGAGACCTTCTGGACTGTGTACTCTGTGAGTGTCACACCCCCGTCTGTCACGGAAGGGATTTTGAAGAGCACAACATCACATGCGCCATCTACTCTCACTGTCAGTTTAAAATTGAGTGGCACATGGCAGGATCTGGCGTGAGAGCCAATGAAGCAGCACCAGGTACATCCGTATTTTCTGTTCATTTCATTGGTTATGAAGGCTGCACGGTTTACATTATTCCTCTGAGTAAAAGCCGCCCTGATGACTTGAGTCGCAAATCGCTCCAGATCACTGGACATGCCACATTCAACTCTATTAATCATTTGGGTCACATCTGAAATTAAATCCAGAGAGGTAAAAAAAAATTTGTTCGTAAATCATTCATAATCTATGATGTATCTGGCGTCTAATGTCTACAGTACATACCAATTCTGAGAATGCAGGTTCTGCCCCACCTCTCACAATGCAGCAGATTTGTGTGTGAGATGTTGGTAATTTTGTGTGCGCCTCTCTTTTACGTGTTTAGTAGTTGCTTTATGCTTCAATTTACATGAGGTTTCTATGTGGTTCTGTATGCAACAGATGCCTCCCGAATGTCAGTGTCGATGTCACATGCTTTCTTTAGAATAGGCCCCTCCTCTAGACGCCCGGAAATGGCACTCTCAGAGGGTAAAATGTTTTTTTTCAAAACAGTGTTCCTCGAAAAAATTATTGACCTTCTCCCTATGAGAGCTATGCTCCCCCTTCCTTACACACTCCTCCCTCGCGGGCGTCAAATCAAGGACCTATTGTCTATTTTATACTGGGAATCGCAAAGCAAATTATGATTATGGCACCTCTGATGCCTGGAAATTGCACTCATTCAGACTAAAATTTGAATGTTTTATTTCTATTTTCGACATCTAGATGTGTATAAGAGACAGGATAATATGATATACAGTCGATGTCTAAAAACTCAGTCATAGCTAGGTTTCCGTCTTTTGGCCTTTTTACATCCTGATTTTATGATAAAGCGGGGATAAAGCGATATTCGTCGTCGATCAACAGAAAATTCAAAAATTAGTGAGTGGTAAAATAATCGACCATTTTTCATGTGATTACTTAAATCGTGCAAGTGTTTCTTGTTATACATTATACCGCATTGTACTGGCGTCTCGTTAAATCATTGACGTCATATTTAGCGTCTAGTGATGTACCAGGGGCGGATTTAGGGGGCCCGCCCTCCCTTTTGGGAGATAAAAAAAGAAAAAAAAAAAAAGAAAGAAAAAGAAAAAAATGATAGCCTACAACGCCTCAAATGTTATTTTCGGACGTCTAGAACAAAAAAATTCGCGGGGGCATGCCCCCGGACCCCCTAGGACATTGTTGTCTCGATCGGCCCAAATTTCGGCCCCCCACCCCTTTTGGACATCTCTGGATCTGCCCCTGTGTACTTTGGTATTTTAATATCTTGACAATACATAACTCTTGTAATAATTCCTAACACTGCTCATAGGCCTACCATCACACTACTGCCGAACCAACATATCGACAGCATCTTGTAAGTATTGGCTAGACGTACAATCTGTTTCACCAGCAAGGCATATCAAGATTTTATACTTTAAAAACATGCTCTACAGTAGCAAACAACGTGTGCATATCCTGGGTACAATATGGTTTTCATTTAATGCCAAGTTTCAATCATAGTTAAGCATTTCATATCAAATTTCAAGAGCGCCACCAATCAAAATGAATGCTGAATGTTTACTGAAAATGTTTGGTTGTTTTTTTTTTTTTTTGGTTTTTTTTTTGTGGGTGTGTGTAAATGCCGGAAATCAACTATTTCCTATGAAGTAGCCACTTTGCTGTCATCATGATGAATCAGTGTATGAATTCCAGATTTGTATTTAATATAGACCACACACTTAGACTACGTTTCCCGACATAAGTCTATTCTTAATGTCAACCATGTGTAGCAACACAAAGAAAATTTTCTCAGACCTATTCAGCTGAGAGGTTTTTTTTCATATACCACAAACGCAATACTAGCAGTGTATCACTTCATACAGTCAATGATATTTACGAAAGAGCTAAATTGTTAAACCCCATGATATACGCCTATACTCTGATACGTACTGTTATTAAATCCATGATTAACCACCACAGAGATTTCAAAATTTCCCAATTGATTAAACACTCTTCCCTTTATTTTGTAGACCTACCTGATTTGTTTATTTTCCCGATTGTCTGCAACTCATCTTTAAAACGCTTCAGCGCATAAGCGTTTTGGACAAACTGCATAGAGTTTGAATCATCTGAAAGAACCTCGATATCATTATGTCTGACACCTGCACAGTGGTTACTAATAGATGATGCTAGTTCGACTTTGTCAAAAGCCTTTCCAGATTTCAGAGCATTTTCACAAACTTCTTTGATATGGAGCTCGCTGGTCTTCATATCTGTCATATACTTCAGGCGGCTTTCGATCTTAGCATTTCTTTCATTTCTAATTTTAAGTGCCTCATCTTTAAGATCTTTTAGTTTTTGTTTTAATTGTTTCTCAAGTTCGTTGAAAACTCCATCGATGCCAGTAACTGTGCGCCGGTATCCTTCTTCAACTTGATCCAGGCTGCAGACTAGTTTATTTATCTCTCTATCGATTTTAGCAGCATTCGAAACTTGTTTTTTAATTGATGCACTAAACATTTCATCAGCTTTCCTAGCTACAATCTTTATGTCAAAAACAATATGGCGGCCACCAGCACCTGACAGGTGGTCTACCACCACACACTCTCGACAAACAGACTCTTTGCAGGTTTCGCAAAAGAATCTAAGCTCTTCTGTATGTAATTGGCACATACGTTCAATGATTTTATTTGGTGGAGGTGGTTTATCAGAGCTCAATGCTTTGCAGCATTCTGCCGATGCTGCCTGTTCTGATGTGATCACAACATGGGGTCGCAGGTTTTCAGTTTTATCATTTGGTGTCGATGCTACTTCGCCGCCCGGTGCTGCAACAACATGCTCGCGCAGTCCTTCAGCTTTACCGTTTGGTAGTACTGTCGTCTGCCAACAGGTCGGACAGTGAATACTTCTTCCTTTATTGCAATTGCTCCAGTTGAGAATGCATTTTTCACAAAAGTAATGATTACAATCCAATATTTTGGGGTTAATGAAGTTCTCCAAGCAAATCTGACACTCAATTGAATCTGGTGCATCGAAAAGTACGCTTTGTTCAAGTGCCTTAGCCATATTGTTATATGCGTGAAATCTAGGCTAACGGTTAGGTCTCGACAGCGTAACAGTTTCTAAAGCGTCAGACTGGAATTTCCATTCTTAGGCCTATTAGTATTATATGAACACTATCGCGTTGTGTTATCGATTATGTTGTGCTCAGTTTCTCTTGTTGTTTGACATGCGCAGTGACGGATAGCATATCAATTATCAACTGGTCGCGGATCGATGCACATTTTTAGTGATAGCGCATTTTTTCGAAGGAAATGATAATAATAATAATAATAATAACGATTTTTTTTTAAATGATATAGATAATTATCCCTGAACAAAAATAATATTAAACTGCATACATAAATATAGTAGAACCCCTATTAAGGGACACATTCGGATCCAAAAAAAACATGTCCTCTTAATATCGGTGTCCACTGTATAGGGGTACCCTTCAGGGGACACAAACCAAAAACGTGAAATTGTCCCCTTAACAGCGTTCTTTTTTGTGCATGTTTTCGTATAATGATGACATAGATTCTTTATAATTTTATTTTAATTGACTTTATGAATCAGTATCATTTGAATTAAAACTGATTTATAAAAATAATTTGCAAAGCAAAAAAAAAAAAAAAAAAAGTAATTAAAACTACAAAAGTTGTATATGTTCCTGATATTGTTTCTTAATTCGAGTGCAATGTTAATGACCAAATATTCTTTTTTCAAATATTGAGCATTCTATTGGATGCACAAGATAGAACTATTAATAGATGTTAACTTAGAAATCAGAGCAAAGTGTCAAAATATAAATGTGAATTATTTTTTGTTCTTTTGTGACTACTCAGTAAATAAATAAATGAGTGTCCCTTAAAGGGGTTAAATTGTATTGGTGTGGCCATTTTGCACACTCAGAAAGTGTCCCCGTCCCCTTAATAGTGGTTGGCTGTGTTAAAGATTTCCCCTCGTTTCACGGAAAAGTGGCTCTTTAATAGAAGTGTCCCCTTCATAGAGTTTTTTCGAAGGGGTTCTACACGACTCGACCTAAACACCGTTTTCCCTTTTTAGCTCAACACTGAATATCTTCCCATTTCCATTGCCACCATTTAACATTTATGGTAAGGAAAGCGTAACCACATTAGGTTAAAAACATTTTCTGAATGATTCATAATTCTAACAAGGCCTATAGTTTGCACGAATATATTTGAAAAAGAAAATGAAAGGTAACTTTCAAATTATCGAAAAATCATGATATTAGATGTGCATCTTTATTTATAATTGTCTTACGGCTTATTTTGTTAAATTTACGGATTTATACACAAGTTATAGAAATTCCTACTTACATAATCCAGTACTAATAATGATGCCACTCTTAAAAAGTAGCATGATGTACCGTAAAACCTACAATAGAAGCCATGGGCTTTTTTTTTTCTTGGGTGGGTGGGGGGAACTATGGATGGGCTTCTTTTCGAGACTACTTATGCAAAGTAAGGAGATCTTCTTAAAATCTTTTTAAAATTAAGGTATTACTAGTAAAAAACAATAAATACGGCCACTGTAACATCTGTCTCTTATACACATCTAGATGTGTTTGTTCTCTCTCCCTCTCTCTCTCTCTCTCTTCACTGCATGGGCATCGATCGGTGGGGACAGGGGGACGCGTCCCCCCACTTTAAAAAGTGGGGGAGGGGGGGGGGACATCATATCAATTGTCCCCCTCCCCCACTTTTTACCAATCTTCTATAATTAAAACTCCACTTTTAAAAGCGAATGGAAAGAATAACAATTACGCATGACTCATATGAATTTTGTCTGTTCACTTTTCTAAGTGCGGTACGTATTTTCCGGACCAAAACCGAGAAACCCACTAGATCGATTTTATGGGTGCAACGACTATCAGAGGCTAAATTTATTGTGAAAACAATGTACTGATCGTTGTTAAGAAGAATGTTGGAAGAATGTATCCTTATTAGGCCAATATTTTTACACTCAAAAGTGCACAATTTCTACTATATACGATTTATTCTTTTTGTATGACCAGTACTAGTGTTTAATATTATCTACATACATAGGATTACTGTTTTTTTCTAATTTCAGCCTTTAACACGGATATATGTCTACCTATTTCGATTAAGTGATAAGCCTACCAAAAGTTTACAAACTCCAGTGTTACGTTGACAGAGTCTCGCAATGACGCCATAATAATCAGTGGCAGATTAAAGTGGGGCCGAGCCGACCCTAATTTTTTCAAAATTATTTTTTGAAAATGGAAAAAAAACAAAGGAAAATTAGAATTAGAATTTAGGTCTGAGAGTGCCATTTCCGGCAATCTAGAGGTGTCATAATCATAAATTTTCTTTCCTCAGCCCCACCATTGCTGGGCTCAATTTAAAAAACGTTTTATGATGAGTATTTCAGTGGAAGATTCAAAGAGCCCAGCCGGCCCACCATCACTATTTTTTTCGAAATTTAAAAGTGGAGAAAAATTAAAATTATATTCAAATTCAGTCTGAGAGTGCCATTTCCGACCAATTGGAGGTGCCATAATCATAAATTTTCTTACCTCAGCCCCAACCATGGTGGGGCTGAGGTGGTAGTCTAGACACTCTCCATCTGTAAAAGTCCCTCTCTGGGCCCAGCTCTATTTCAAATTACTGGATCCGCCACTGGATATTTTGAAAATTTCGTATGGAAATAAATGTTAATTGCATTGCTTAAAATCAATTAAAAGGCTATATGCGCCAGAGCTTCCGGGGCTTCGCCCCCTGGTCCCCGACCATTGCTTGGGCCTACGGCCCAAGGTTTATTTTTCATCTCGTCCCCCCACTTTTAGCCACGGATCGACGCCCTTGCTTCACTGGCTTCCCATCACCAAACAAATTTCTTATAAAATAAGACTTTTTACTTATAAAGCTCTACATTGTCAGGCCCCTACCTATATTTCCGATCTTTATTCAGTTATGCTCCAAAAAACGTGCTGTCGTTCATTTTGATGCACTTCACACTTTCTACTCATATTTGCAAGCTGAAGTCGCACGGTGAGCGCTCTTTTGAGGTCGCTGCTCCTGACTATGGAACACTTTTCCCATTAATATACAGGAATCTCCATCCATTTCCCTATTTTAGGCCAGACTCAAAACTTCTCATCCATCTAACTGTTTTTTTTTTTGTTACTTTTCCTATGTCTCCTCTTCATCTTTTAGTTTCTTTTATTCAACTTTTTTTTTTGGACATTTTGTTGCTTTACAAGTCTACATCGATGTATGCGTCCGAGGGGCTGAAAATTATATTGAATAGTCTCCCTCTAGATAATCCATAGTGTCAAAACACAAGCGCTCCCCATTTCCCCTAAAGCCCCCCGGGGGGGGCGCCGGGGGGGGGGGGGGAGGGCTTTAGGGGCAATCCCATCGGTTTGGTCAAGCCCCCCCTCCCCATCGGTTTGGTCAAGGCCCCCTATCGGTCAAAGCTCGTCGGGCAAGTCGGACCAAAAGAAAAAAAAATTGGCCTAGTTTTCCTATCCCAGCCATTTCCGGCCATCTAGAAGTCCCAATTTTTTTAAAAATCTTGTTTTGGTAGGAGGGGACACCCCCGGCTCGGGCCTTCGGCCCTCAGGTAACGCTGCGCACTATAGTTACACCCATAGATACTTAGCCTCCCCTAGTCGGACTCCCCTATAAATTATATCCTTAACCTTCCAACTGGGGCTTTCGTTGGAAGTTCGAATTTATACCTGTGCCCCACTAATCACCGTGTATTACGTGAACAAAAATGAAACAGTTCAATATGATATGCCCAGTGGCGGTGCCAGCAGGGGGGGGGGATAGTGGGCTTAAGTCCTCCATCGGACAGGTCAAGCCCCCTGCCGGACAGAGCTCGTCGGGCAGTCAGACCATAAAACATATAAAAATAGGCCCACACCAAGCCAACACATGTCTTTCACAGTCTGACAGTGCCAATTCCGGCCATCCAGAGGTTGCTATTCTTTAAAAAAAAATCTCATTTGGGAGGAGAACCCCCTCCTTCCCCCAGCTCGAGCCTACGAACTCAAGTCGGACAACTTAGCCCCCTTCAGAAAATATATCCTAGAGCCGCCACTGGATATGCCCTCTTCTTACGCATCTTATACAAGACAGGATCTCCGAAGAGATCATTTTTATACATAAGAAATGCCACACTTTCACGTGTAATATGATAACTTTAGATGGGTTTCTTTTCGAGGCTACTTGTGCAAAGTAAAGAGGTGGGGGAGGGGGCTTCTTTTCAAAATGGATGCTGTGAATTTTGGGAATTTCTAATATTAAACAATAAATACGGCCACTGTAACATAAATCTGTATCATGGAGTTTATTTAACTGATATTTAACCACCTAAACTACTGTATAAACCAAGCTTGTTTTTAATTAATTTTGTTTTTGAAAAATTCGTGTACAGTGTATGTACTGTACTAGGGCTTGTTTTCAAGGCTAATTTTGCAAACATAAACAGGGGGCTTCAATTCGAGATGGGCTTCATCTCGAGATTAAGCCCACTGGACTTCAATTCGAAGTTTTACGGTACAGTAATAATGAATATCTCTGAGTTGCAAGCAACACGTTATAGGGCTAATTATGGACCAGAAGGTGTTTTATTTCCAAATTCTATAATTAAGATGTATGAATGAATTTGGTTCAATATTTTGCAAAAAGAAAAAAAAAACTTAATACGTCAATGTTCATGGCGCTCAAAGCAACCAAGAACTATTTTTTGCATAATTAATGATTTCTTGATTGTCACAAAACAATAGTGGTGGCGTCAAGGTTTTCACGAAGAATTTAGGGTGGGGGAGGGGTACGATTTACCCAGTGGGAGCGCAGCCGCTTCTGATAAGTAACAAACATTGAATACCTACCTCATATCTGTTCAATTTCTTTGATAGCAGTAGTGTCATTTTTTGTTTTAGGGTTTCCAGACGCCTATCCAGGTGGATGCGCGAGGCGCAACGCTTCTCCCAAAGAGGTTTCCTTTCATACGAGTCGCCCCTGGAAACATTCGATGCAAACAGATTACGATCAAGTATAGTTAAAAATCACCTCGTATCACATTATTTTGCAAGTTAGCGCCAAATAGTCGAGCTCCCTTCCCACTTCTATCGTACCCCCATCAGCTCTTCCACCACCCATTTAAAGACTCCTATATGGAGTTTCCCCTACTTTAATTGGTTATTTAGAAGCCCATTCTAAACCTGCGAACACAACAAACAAGACAACCTCTGAAAATAAAACTAAATTTCACTTTGTTTGGAATAGGGTAGGATTTGTTTTCCGTAACAAATGTCAATATCGTAAATAGGTCTACTTTAGACTTACATTAATTTTCTGGGCCTAATGAAGGCCAAATTAAAAAAAAAAACCCGCGATAGTCTATCATAAGCGCGTAAAAATTTCCTTAAGCTCCCCGTTTGAATAAGCGCCAATTTGAATTATATCATAAGATTTCCTTTTTAGCAAGTCATAATGCCATCAATCCTGGGACTGTGGTTGCTGGTATGATTTGAGCTGCAGAGTGGAATCACATTCTTCTTGGTCAATGTCAAAATGAGCATATTTCTCTTGGACAGATGAGAGCTCCATCCCTGGTCAAACATTATACTATAAACTTTCATCTCATTATATATTTGTCTAGGCCTATACTCCTCTTTTTCTTTTTCCGACAATTTGCACCTTTAGCACATTCTCATCTGAGTTTTCAAGAAAAGCTGCAATGATCCTGCCATCCTGCTAATCTCAATTTGCCGATGGCCAACAAGCTTATAACCACTACCCATCATTGCATCTGTTATTCTGCTGTTATGTAAATATTCACAGCATTCTTGTCATGAACCATGTCCTCCGGACGATTATCTTTTCCTCCGCTCTACCTTTCGTAATGTCCTTATATATAATCCTTTTTTCATTCAAAAAGTGCCTCTTGAATTTAATAACTTCTTATAAGAACCCCTCGATTTTCATCTATTTCCATAAGCGCCCCCTCAATTTCCACTTTGTTTTCATAAGCGCCCCGTTTTCATAAGCGCCCCTCAAAAAGTGCAAAAGATATTTATTCGCGCGAGTACGGTATATAGGTATACTGTATTTTCTCAACCGGGACCACAGTGATAGGCATAGAGCATTTGCTTGGCATTATCTATTGTATTTGTATCTACATTGTGCTTTACCACTTAATAACCAACTACCAAACAAACCAATCAACGCGCTCACGCATCCATTCACATCGGATTTTTTTTGGATCGGTTCGGTGTTTTGAACTGAAAATTCGGTTTCGGTGTGAATGCACCTTTAACGGCACTGTTTTGTTTTGCATTGGATATCGCCCAAGTTAAAATTTTGTTCCGTTAACACATTTCAGAAATTTGCCGGACAGGGAACCAACAAGTCTGATAGGAAGATCCGTATTAAGAGGCGACTACAGCCTCGGTCAGGGTCCCAGAACAAAAATCCCTGGTAGGATTCATAGGGAGAGGCGGAGTTTTTTTTATGACTTGGCCTAATTTAGACCCGGAGTAGATGAATCGTCAACAAGTTTTGGATGGGTCATATAAGCAAGCTTACCAACCGACCCATCAACGAAATATCAAGCAAGTAAAAATAATGATCATCATCTGCTTGTTGTTTCGTCTTATGTAGACAATTACGTTGTTAATCGTTTCCATGACTCTCTTTTAGTGGTCAGGTGGTCTTTTCGTTAGCTTTTTAATGAATGTATTCACATTTTTAAGTTCCTTGTTCATTGCTGCAACCCATGATGTTTTGGCCGGTCTTTTGACTTTCTTACATATTCTGTTAATTAGCGAAACTTTGGCTGGTGTGTCAATTGGTAACCTTAACATGTGCCCTGTCCATATAAATCTCTGTTTTTTTATCTATTAAAACGGACCATTTTCTTCTTTTGTTTTGTTAAAAGCTCAATATTTCTGATCTTGTAAGGCCACTTAATTTTAAGAATTTTCCTTAACAGGATCCTATGAATTCAATCTATTTCTTCCTCTTGTTTGTTGGTTTGTCATTCCTGATGATGGACATAGCCTAATTAATGTCGAAATATTCAATCCCGACACGATGGCATGCATTTCGATACTTGAAGTTTGTTGGTTAGTTTGTTATATTTCTGACATATGTATTTGGAAGTCGTAAACAATTACTACTAGTCTGGACGACGGGGTCCAGACCCCGCCGCCGACGAGGGAAATTTATCAATGAGGCCTGGTAACGCATTTGGTATCGGGCCTTTTTCATAGGCAATTCAATTGTTGAATTGCCTTGATCAGAAAGAAAAAAAAATAAAGAAAGAAAAAAAAAAATGAAAGCCAATTTAGTAAATCCTCGGTTATTCGAAGCGCTGCTCTCGTCAGAGGCTCAAACACCGATTTTTCTCTCTCAAATAAGCGCCGCGGCGCTTAATCCAGAATATAGCCCAATGTGTGTTATGGAATAATTTGAGAATCAATGTTTTAAGTACAATACACAGTGTTCAAACGAAAATAACACAATGAAGACACAAGAATATTTTTTTTTTATAAACGTTAGGTAACATGGGAACGGGCATGGAAAACGCCAATACTTTTTTAATAAGTGCCGATGCCGCTCTCGAAGCCCCCAAAGATGTTATAACGCCGCGCCGCTTAATCGAGGATTTACGGTAATGAATTAAAATAAAATGTATGCTGGTGGTTTCATACACAGGTATTGTTTACTGTCTATTACTGTCGTGTATTTGTTTTGAATGTAATCTTTTTATTTTAATATTTATAATCTTTAATGTAACTTTTAAGCACCGCTAACCACGGTGACACTGATAAAAAAGGTGTATAATCTTTAGTTAATTAGTTAATAACTTACTTAAAATATACAAATTTAATTTAAATACGGAGTTCAGTAATTTTCAAGCCATCCGTCGTATACGATAAGTGACGTAGCGCCCTCTCCATGCATTTATCAACCAACATCACCTTTGGCAACGTGTCTCATGTTGTGTAAGTCATTTCTTGAATGTGCTCCGTAACTATTTAACAATTTTTCTTCCTTCTGTATTAATGTCGAGCCCCGACAATCGTTGGAAGTTCAGATTACCCCGCATATTACTTACTGATATTGCATTTGCATAGCATACCATCTGATCATCTCTCTAGGCCTATCCCATCAGTGTCTTGGCATTGGGTGGGAACTTCGCACTCTCTCATCATCACACTTCCCTTCACCTCACAATAAACAAGGGTACGGAGGAAGCTGATGTCGGTGATCTATAATAACGCTCCGGTACAACGTTAAACGCCGTTCAATCAACAGTCAATCATGATTTTTGAATATTAGAAACATATTATAGGCTACTAAACAGTTAGCTGTTGTTTTGTAGCCAATGCCAGTTCTTGAGAAGGAAGTAAATACGGCGACTAATTGTCTGGTGACGATGAACGGTGGACATGGCGAGGCACTACTTGAACGAGATGGAGACGGTGGATTGGACCTCGTTCGAACCGGTGAGTGCTTAACTTTTTACTCTCAATGTTTCTGTCGGCTATTCGAAAATGTTTACTGAAAGCAGTCGTTGAAAAGGTGATAAGTTGTTGATGATATTACGATGATGACAACTTAAAATGATGTGGATAATACAATATGGTATTGTGATCAGTGGGGCATGTAGGGGTGCACACGCCCCCCCCCCCCATCCCCCCCCCCCCACCCAAAAAAAAAAAAAAAAAAAAAAAATTCTTGTGCTCTCAAGTTTCTTGTGCCCTCAAGTTTCTTCCCCCAAATTCATGGTCAAGTAGTTCAAAATCACCTCAAATCACATTATTTTGCAAGGTACTGTAGTTCTACCGCACCTAATATATTGGGCACCCCCACTTCACCTTTCTTCCACCTATCTAATCCCCCCCCCCCATCCAATTTCAAGACACCTAGATATGCCAGCCTGTGATATTGGTGATGACAGTGATAAACTAAAATCCAAGTGATATTGTTAGGACAGTCATCATGATCATGACATTATGAATGATGCATGTAATGTGGTATTATATAAGTCATTCATCTTTTGAGAACAAGCATAAAACTCTCGTAAATAACCTTTCTTGCAAGTTCAAAATATTTGCAGATTTTTATTACTGGTAGTTTCTTTGAAATCAGCGGACCGTGGCTGCCACTGTAACAGCACACAGAAAGAAGTGGGTTCTCCTAACTTTTGACCACGTGGTGGAATCAAAGTATAGGCCTACTGTAAGGGCAGGGTGAGGGGGATTATTTTTTTCAAATTGTTTAATTC